CCTTCCCCCCTTCCCCCCTTTCTCCCCTTCCTTTCATAAGTAAATTTACCATCCTATTACGCACAAACCAAACACCCTCCCCATAAATCATCCTCACCCCCTTCCAAATCCCACAACTCCACACAACTGTAAGCGAAAATTTCAGAATTCATCGATATCATGAGGATCCATTATTCATTCGTCAACCTCGCACATACATACACACCTAGAAGATACGTAGCGAAACCCCCATCAAGAAATACGCCTGCTCCATGATCTACGTTCAGGTATAGATCGAGTACAGAAGGTTTGTGATGTGTAAGCTGTACATACTGCAAACACGCCTAAGCCAAGTAAAGCAGATATCGTCATGAATCCCGATCCAACGACAAATACCGGCATGTAAAGTACAAGTACAAATACCATGCCAAAAAAAGGACTTTTACCCACCATCCATCCACCCATCTCACACCCCCTCCCTTCCCTCCCATTTCCACCTCACCCCCTCCTTACCACCGCACACACCCCTCCTCCCCCCCAATTCTCAAAACCCCATTCTTCCTCCGTTCCGCAAGCCACCGTTCAATCCACCGCTTCATCTTCGCTCTCCCGGCCGCACTCCCCACATTAACAGTAGGAACCACCTTCTCAATGCGCAACGCGCAAACAAACATGGTCAGTTCCCGGAAAGAACTGTGTTCCGAGTAGGGGACACCGAAACAGGATGCTTCGCGGGTGCTTCCACGCTGGAGGACGAGGTCTTGGAGCGTGTAGGTGGAGCGCCAGTTGGGGGAGTGGATGATGGTTTGGATGGAGGGGGAGTCGGTGAATCTAATACGTGTTAGATGGTGTGAGAGGGAGATATAGAGGAGATGGGGGTGAGGGAAGGGGAGGAAGGGGTAAGGTACCTGGAATTGGGAGGTTTGTAGTTCCATCCACTCGGTCGGAAGCCCACTACGCGACTAAAATACGGCTTGTACCCATTCAAATACTCCTGCAAGGTCTCGGCTCTAATCTCCATCAACATCTGCATATGGATTTGCGCCTCCCGCGGATCACTGGTCATGCGACTCATCAACTCTGGGTCTTCCAACGCAGCACAGATCCGCATTTTGCCTGGTGGTGCGTAGATTTTGCAGTCTAGTGCACGAGCTATGCCCATGCAAATTCGTTCTTTGCCGATACTGTATGTACCGCATACAACGAGGAGACGACCACGAGGCTTGGAGTCTTTGCTACTACCGAGTGACATTGCGATGCTGTTGTCTTCTGCTTTCATGGCTGAAGTGGATTTGACGAGTTTGGTCATACCAGATCCTGCACGTTCTCTCTTTGCTGTCTCCCAGGCATCGCTTTCTTCGGCACGTTCTTTTTTGAGCGATACGCACATATCTGCACAAGCTTTGACGACATCTTCTTGGGAAGGAAAAGCGTAGCGAGGATTAAGATATGTAGTATCGAGATAACAAACATCGATTTTCTGCTGTTTTATCTTTCCAGAAAGCGAGTCGACAATATCGGGCATCAACAATGGATTGGCAATATGTGCTGGACACGCTCGAAAGTCTCCACAATGAAGAATTCGCTGAACCTTGGGAGTAGGACCTTTACCAATGACTTTCTCAAACAAAAACAAACTGCTACCGGGACAGTGGTTTGCAGGAATCATTGTAACGGATACGCCTTCGGTTTTGGGTACTTCGGACTTGACATCGAAATCTAAGGCCACCACCCATTTCAGGTCAACACGTAATTGTTGCTTTACTAAATTAGCCGTGACCTTGCTGCAGTATATTGGACCATGACACCATGTGGACGTGAGACCAACATAGTGATCACTATGAAAGTGACTGAGAAAGTATCCATTACAGCCCTGAACAGCTCCATATCGGAAAGCGTCAACACATATGAAGAATCCAGGCATGATTTTATAGAAAGGACAAGTTCTTTGATAAGCTGGCTTTCCCCTTGATGCATTTTCGGTAGCCGCAGCAGTTGCCCAAGCCGCATCTTCTGCTTTACCAGACATGAGCTTCGAGAATGCAGAGCCAGAGCTGGGTCCAGCCGATCCAACTTCGATGGGGTTTGCTTGTCCTGGTCTTGGTACGCCCGCTTTTCGCGCAAACCGGTTTCTGGCATCCACTGGCATGTACTTCACTTCAGACTTTTCAGACTTGGGTGGCTTTTTTAATTTTGCGGCCTTGGGGAGTGGAATAGGTTTTCCATCCAAGCATGCATTGACGTGCCTCGACGCATCGTCTGAAGAAAGTCCACTGAGACTCGCATCGCAGATTGGGCAAGCAGGTATGATTTCCTGATCTGGAACGTCCAAGTCTGTGATATCGTCAACGAATCCAATGAATTCTTCTTCTTGCTCCATAGCTTCAAGCGTAGCTTGTTCTTCCATCCACTTCCTCTCTATAAACTCCTCGCCATCATTGAACTCATCTAGCGATTCATCGTTATCATCGAACTTTCCCCAGTCATCAACGCTCGTTGCTTCCTTTTTCAAATTGGGTATTGCATCCGTGGTATCTGCAACTACCGGGAATACTGAAGGGGGCTCGGTATCCAATTCAATTGCTGGCTCTTTTCCCTTGCCACTGGCCATTGCATTCGTGGGTTGCTTGCCCTTGTCAGAGTTCGTAGATCCGCTCTCACTCGAATAACTTGGTGATCGGGAGTTTTTAGGTTGCATAGCCTCCCACTTCGCTTGAGCTTTTGCGATAGGCACTCTCTTGCGTTTGAAATTTAGTGGTTTGGCTGTTTCTGTAATTGACTTCGGCGTGGCAGATTTTGGTTTAGATGCGACAACACTATCTTTGACAGCCGGTAAAGACTCAGTGACCGGGCTTACATCCTCTATTTCCTTCTTCACTCTCTCACGGAACTCCCTATTTTCTTGTACCGGCTCACTATCATTTGATTCCTTCCTCGGTTTGTGAAGGGTTTCGTAATCGCTTTCCGAGTCCGAGAGAAAAGGACCTCTTTTCTTTGACTTTTTCGATCTTGATTTGGATTTAGCAGCTTGAGGTTCAGTGTGACTTGGAGGAGTAGGAGTTGTCTGCTTCGAAGATATACTAGGCCTTGTCGTATTCTCGTCCTCGGTATCGACCTTCGGAGCATCAACCACAATGGTATTCTCCTCAATCGATAAATCCTCCTTCGACATCTTCCGTCTCTTCACTGATCCCGCAGACTCATTAAACCTAACATCATCCTCAACATCATATAAATCATCAAACTCCTCTTCTACATCCGAATCCTGGACCACCTTCGCTCTGCGCGGCATTTGTAGGTGATTGGCACCATGAGATAAGAATATCGATTCATCGTTAAGTGGATTATCGACTTTCTTAAAGAAAGTAAGGATACTGGCATTTGGTTTCGCGGGAGTCTTGACAAGAGGTTTTGCCGGGGTCTTCTTTGTTGATTGACGACTCGATGCCGCCGTGTTTGACTTCGAGTTCAGTCGCGGGGTGAGGGGTTTGACCGAGCTTGAAGGCGCCATTGTGTATGCGGATTGTGGCGATTTGCTGGTTTCTGGAGGAGTTGGAGGTCGTCCAGTCGAGGGTCTTATGTTAGTCGTGGTCGGTTTATTCGCATTCTCTCGAGGCTTTCTGAACATGTCCAAGTCATACAGTACGAGTTTGACAATGCGGGGGAGTTGCGTAGTACCCGGTGAAGTTTGCACGAAGCAAAAAAGGGCACTTTGGACGAGAGGTATTGATTCGGTGTTTCTTTTCGAGATCCTCACAGTCTCATACAATTGATGGGGATTGGAAGGTCGAGTTGGGGTTCATTGTCGGGGTGGCGAGTTGATGGTTGCGTTAAGTAAACTTGCGCGCTCTGAAAACTGACGCGTTGTCACATGACGCAATTCAGAAACTTGAATTACCTAGGTATGGGATGAATCCGATGATACCAAATTTCTCCTAACAAATTGGCAGAGTATCACTCATGGGTTTATTTCAGCTGCTTAGACATTGGGTATGATTTGGGCAGGACTTTGCCGTTCAGGCTGTAAGTATGTTACAGTTATTCGTCACAGTTCAGTCAAAGTGACACAGAGTAATTGAAAGGTAATAGTCGAATGGGGAGTATCTTCTTCAAGAAACCCAGAAAGATGACTATGGGGTAGGGCCAACCGAGTAACTCATTGTGGTGAGAGGAATGCTTCTCCATTACAGGGCATCTAGGCCGTTTTTGCATCTTCCCCAGACGGATATCGCTGTAAAATCCGCACCCAACGCCTGCCGCAATGCAAATAAAATCCATCCATAAGGCAAGTCGTACTCGAGGCAGACACAAACCAACTTGGTAGCAAAAAAACGGTGAAAAAAGGCTACGACTTCGGGGTATCAATCGAGTCTCCGCTCAGACCCTGAGCATATCTCCAGCCACATCAAAATAAATCCCTGTTCCCGTTTTCTTCACCCGCAACTTCGTGTGCGTATGTTCAGATTTATTTCCCTTTCGATGCTTGCTGCTGGGCTTCTCGCCGTGTAGCTATGCCAAATATCAGTTCCCATCCAACCCAACAAGAAACCCGTAGAAACATACCATCTTCCAGCAGGGCAGTATCCACCGAGTTTCCTGGCAAATGTACGTATCTCACCACACTCCCTCTTATGAACACATTCTTGACCGAAGACTAGAATTCCCCCATCAGCACATATTCATCGCACTGGCGGGGTTCGGCGCATCATGACTGCCCGCGTTTCCGAGGACTGACCAAATGAGGATACTTCAGTTCCTCCACTACCTGTATATCGTCGAGTTTGATGTTGAGGTACTGGTCGACGGACTTTAGCATGCCCTTGATTTGGATGTCGTTCTTGAGCTCGACGGTGACTTCATGGTCTACCAAGGTCTTGAAGAAGCTATTTAAGGTATTAGTTATGGCGCATGAAGAATGGGGAGTTTCTGAAGTATGCAAACCTGAAGAATAGCATCTTTAAGAGAAGAGAGGTGTTGGTAACGAGGGTTGTGAGGTATGATGTTCTTTTGGTGGGATGTTACTGATGCTGTTGATTGCTAGCAGAGTGAGGCCCCAAGAATCTTTGGGAACCTGAGGCAGGAACATCTACTGTAAAGTTAAACGCTCTATCTGTTACCAAAAATCAGCTACAATTCACCTCATTTTATTTCCTTCTCCTCGAAGTTCGTCTTTCGTCCTCGATTTCTGGACCAGAGAGTGGAAAGTCATCCAAACAAAATTCCTCGATCACTGAGGTATCGTCCAAATACGAAATCCAGGAGTCTAACCTACAATCGTTGAGATTGAATGCCGCTGTGAGAGGAAAGTACTTCAAGAGTGAAGCTCGTTAGATTCCAGACACCAGAAGCATGGGTCCTTCCAGTCGTCTGTTTTTGTCTTGTATGAGGAATCTAAAGAGAGACCAAATGTTTTTTTTGAAGGTCAGCAGCGGTTACCTAGTGATTGCCGGTGATTTATTTTGACCCAGTAATCTTTAGCTGCCAAGTCAGCGAGAAGCCTCTTGCTTTTTAACAAAATGTTCTTAGTATTCTTTGGCGGATAGAGAAGGGACTGCTTGCATGTCTGTGGAAGTCGTTGTCCTGGAAATTTACCGGGTTCCTCTACTATTTTCGTTTTTGCAAATTTAGGAAGTGAATGTGCTTCCGACATACCCATTTGAGAATATTTGCCTATGGAAGTTGTCCGAGTAGGTTAGTAGGTTACTGTTGTGAAGAGTTCGGGATGCGATTGGGTGGAGTTCAGGTTAGCTGAGAAGTGGGAGTATGCTACAAGTCTATTGCATGCTATGCGGGTTGATGCCCATAGCAGTTTTGTCTCTAAGTGACGAATTTCGGGCCGTTCCTTCTTTGATTATGCCTCAACCCTCAAATCTCAACCGGGTTTCCTCGCAGGTTCTGAGCAGATCTGGGGTCCCCACTGTGGCGGCACCAGGGTCTCAGTCGAGGATGGAATTGGATGGGATGGACGGCACGAACCCTCACACACGGCAAGTACACCGATGATAAGAGATAAGAAAGTAATGATGCACATAACCTCTGTGAGAGCCTTTTATCGAGGAACGAAAGACCTTAGGTAACTTGCAGATAATCAAGTGATTGGTGTTATGTTACACTTTGAATCAGCACATATGTTTTCACTTCCGCTAGAACACCTTGTGCATGAATTCATAATGGGACATATTAAAGAGACAGCAGCTATTAATGGAGTCCATCTTCCGATTCGACCCATCCTCCTTGGAGGATACACCAGAAAGGTCACCTCACCGCCGGAGAAGCATATCCCAAGAACCACGTCCAGATATCGCAAAGCTTACCATATCAAATCCCTATGCTTAGCAATAATCGAGTATATATTTCTTTAGACATCATCAAGCAAAGCGCACGAATCACACTCTTGTGCTTTCCAAGGATTTCTGGCTCAATTCGTTGTCAGACATAATCATCGTTAGCGATTGGTCTGCAGATCTTCGAGCGGAATGAGCCGCATCGATCATCTCCCGATCATACAGTACACGGTAGGCGGCAATGATATGCGATTGGTAAAGATAAACCTCACACATGCGGGGAAAACGTGGGATAAGCAAGCTGTAGCCAATGTTCGTATGAATTATTATGCAGCTTACTCCACCCCATGTCTTCCCCCTTTCGTGCTCGCTAGTCCTTCCATGGCTGAAGTGAGCATATTCATGGGCAGTTTTTCCTCGGAAGTTTGAAGAAGGTTGACCAGCCAGGTATTTTGCCACGGACTTTTCCAGAAAATATTTTCATTTTAAATATCTTCTTGATTCTCAAAAACTCAACTTGCACCCTTCAGTCTTAAAATACTACAACCATGGCTGCCGCAGACGTTGCAACCCCACGCACGGAGACCCCAAGTCTTCCAGATTATGTCCTCGATCCAAACGCAGTCCTAAAGGATACCGCAAACTGGCGATACGGCCAACCTCCAGATTACACAAACACCCGCAGAGTCTTCGCTCAATGTAGTTCTTCCTCTCCTTACCTCCTCTCTTCTTCCCCATCATCATCTACCATTCTTCCCTAACCTTCCCAGCCAAAACCCAAACCCACATCTCAGGCTCCCTCCCCTCTTTAGTCGAGAACCTCGTCAAAAACTGGGAAATCGAAGCCTCATTCAAGCCCAGCATAAGCGACTGGCGCACCATCGATCACGCAAACTACACCTTCGCCATCAATGGCGGACCACCGCAATCCGCAGAACATATGTTGAAAGTGGGGACTTATAACGCTATTATTGCCCCGAATGAGTTTTATAGTCCTGAGAACTCGGATTTCGCAAGTAGTCATAAGACGTTTAAGAGGATGATGCCTACGTTCGCCTGGGAGGTTATGGAGGTTTACTCCGGGCCGCCGGTTGTGAGTTTTAAGGTGAGTGGTAGAATTTCGACTGTCTTGGGTGTCTTATGAAGGTCTTGGTGAGAGGTTGCGGTTTTGCTCCGGCTTGTCGGGAGGGATATATAGCTATAGCTGGGAAGTGTTCGCAGCTATTCGTGCACCTGGATTGATCACGGGAAGGCTTTGGATATTCTCATGGCAACCTGGAAGCAAATTGAAAAACTTCCACTGCTCAACTCGCTCATCGACTCCGATGCTACGAGTAATCCTTCAAACCCGTTTCTAACACAAAAATAGTGGCGCCATTGGGGCACAATGAAAAACGCCTACGTAGGCTTCAACGAGTACGTCAATCTCCCTCCCCAATCCTTTCCCCATAAAAGTCCTCACAACCCCCCAGCAAAGGTGAAAAAGTCACAGCCCCAGCTCACGGCGGACCAATCGATATCCAAGGCGTAACAGTGGCCAAAGTCGACGCACAGCTTCGTCTTCAGAGTGTGGAAACTTGGTTCGATCCTTTAGAGATGTTTCGGCAGATTGCGCCGAATGGAATTGTGAATAAGGTTGTTGTGAAGCCGAAGGAGGGTGTCGATCTTTCGGGGAGACTTGATGATGATGAACAGGAACAGAAGGGAGTTTTGGAAGCTGGGAGCGCGGTTGTGGAGGGTGAGGGGAGTGTGGCGACTGCTGAGGCGCATGCGGAAATGGGGAGGGTGGTGGGAGGAGAATGTCCGTTTATGAATAAGGAGTGAGGGGGTTTCAATAGAGGTTTTGCTTAGAAGTTTGACATTCTATCCTTATCAGAGTTATGTTGCTAGTCAGCGTATTGCTATTTTCTTCTCGAAACCAATATTTTCTTTTGGTATTGCCTATGGTTAAGTAATTAACTGTCTCCAAGTATAGAACACCTGTAGGGTTGCAGATTACACCAGGAGCTTATAAAGAAGCCCAATGAAAATCAAAGGCTCTTATCACTTCACTTCCCCAAGTGAAAAGACATGAAGCTTTTCACTCACTCGGTGGAGGTTGTGTATAAGCAGACGTGACCATACCGAGTGACGCATGGTAGCCACATAGCTTTTGCGACCTTCACATGTAGATATAGGCTCGCGATATACCAATTTATTGCCACAAACAAGCTTACAATGCTTACCAACATCGAGGACGATAAGACGGCAGTTGCCTAACCCCTGTGCGTGACTATCGTTAAAAAGGACGATGAGGCGGTCTGTTCTCTCCTTTCTCATATGGCCAAATTCTCTATACTAATCAGAATCCAAAATTTGCCCAAACTACGGGCAATATCGACGACGAAGAATACCTATCCAATGACCCCGAGGACGATGACCTTTTTCAAAGCAGGCTTTCAAGCAGAGAGGCAGATAAAATTCTATAAAGCCACCGTATTTTGTAAACACATGAATTCGTATTCTTAAAGCTAGATACATAATTGCTATAATCACTTCCACTATTTTTCTTTATTAACTTCCTTGGCTCTCTCGATCAATTCGTCGAGAATCTTGGTATCTCTCGACTTCAATTCGTGCTTCTCTTCGCTAGTCATGCAGAAAACATTTGCTTCTCTGATAACATACGCAGGTGGTTCGCGCGTCTCTCGAGGCTCGATCATATAGTCTTGGAACTTGGAGTAGTTTTTAGATCTGAAAGTCTGGTTAGCTAATTCTTACAGTTGCTACCAAGGTGCATATGGAAGCTTGGAGTGACAAGATTCATATTTCCCGGCAGAAAAAAAGAGGAAAGAAAACCCACCCAAACTTGTCTGTAAGTATCCATCCATTGAACCATAGTAGAGTCCCATCGACATCCAAATGTACTATTTGGGGAGCGCACATCGTATATTTCTCGGTTGAATTTCGAAATTTCATTAATTCATGCGGTTTTCGCACTTCTGCGTGCTCTGGATCTGCTTGTTTGGACTCTTCTAGTACACCCATGACCCCAATCCTCCCTGGATGAAAAGTGTATGCCCAATCCCCAACGAGTTCCCATCCAAGCCAGAATGTTTCCTTGTCGCCTAGATGCAATCAGTTTTAACTCAACCCCCAGAAATGAAAAACGTACCATGCACCATCTCATAAATACCCTTCAACTCTTTTGATTTATCACCATCACGATCCGGTCCATTCATACGTGTTACCAAGAGCAGCGCTACAAAATGCTTCCACTTGTCGACAACTATGACGCCAGATTCCTGTTGATGGCCACTCTCTCCCGTCCACATCCGACTCTGCCTAACACTCCGACTAAACGGCTTTGGTAAGATTTCCTGCAGCCAATGCTTCTTGCTCTCGGGCATAACATTTCGATCCATGAAAAACAATGCTCCAGTCTTTTGATATCCCGGGTCGTCAAGGAGAACTTCGGGATTCTGAAAAAAGGCACTATCTGCATCGATGAAGATGACCTCACGGAATGATGACAGCAGTATTGCGAATGGCTTGCTAGCCCAGCCAGCCAATTTCCAACCGTCGTCCTTGACCATCTGTGCGATATCACGTGTGATCACTCCTGGCATGGCTTCGAGATCCGCACGGTAGTCTTCGCTTAGGTCCGATTCCCCGAGATACATGATTTCGATGGGAAGGGTGCAACCGAGTTTGCGGAACGATGGAATCGTAGTGAGGAGGAAGGGAGCTTGACCGTCGCCTGCTGTTAACACTATCCCACGGCCGCCTTTGGAGAAAGATGATTTGAGAGCAAGTAGGTCAGGATAGTAAGGATGAAACCACGGGAATAAGAGCTGTGAGAATTTCGAATCAGATACTGAGAGCTAATTTGGGGAAATAATAACTCATGGAGTAAGTAGAAAACACTTTTCGGGTCTACATTTGGACACACAAAAGCTTAGGTACTGACCTCCGTGAACTTTGCTAGGAAGCTTCTGTATTGCTCATAAGCACGAAGTGTCGACCCCAAAGAACTTTCAACCAAATCTTCGTCTGTCGAATCGACCGACCTCGTAGTCCCCCGAAGATACTGAATGACATCGTCACGGACAAATGTACTCCCGTCGGGTTCATGTGCTATATGAACATCCTCCCATGCTTCGAAAATCGCTTTGAAAGCTCGAACTCTCAGACCCATCTCTCTCAACCTTTCATTCCCGGTACCCTCAACAGGTCGCAGTAGGTCTCGCGAGAGTATCTCACCCGGTGCGTTAGAAACCAGCTTCTGGATCGAATCATCGAGATCCGTCCTCTCGATCCATTGCTCCTGGTCCCGGGTATGTTGATTGACCTCCTGATTATCTATATCGACCGCTGATGGTGTTGAAAATAGGTAGATACATGCCGAGATTCCCAACAGCAAGTAAATGAGGGTGTTTCTTTGCCTGAATCGAACTGGTCTAAATGAGGCGGGGCTGTGCCTTCTAGCAATCCCGAATCGTGCCTTCTCCATCGAAGCAGCACTGCCAAACCACATAATTTTGAAAAAAGTTTCCAATAAACAAAAGTTTACACGGAGAGTGATAGAGGTCTATATGGGTTATGGTAGATTTCCAGCAACCATATCTATGAATCATCAACTCTAGCTTATAGAGTCATTCATTATTCTTCAGTGTGGTTAGTAGTTTTGTATCATGCACAGGAAGTTATTTCCCTAAAAGCCACAAAGTCTCCGGGCAGACATCCTTATGAGAAACTACAAGAATTGTCAAAATTCGTAGAGTTGGAAATGGCAAGTTGTAGGATACTGAATGTTCTTTCCTTGGGAAATTTTCGCGTACGTAATGGCCAAGTTACTAACTATTCCCCGTATGATATCATAGCCAGAATGGTCCCCCACGCTCTAGATAAATGTTAGCGCTCAACTATGGAATGGATGATGAGTCTCCTATTAACCTTAGCCCTGAAGACATTTTGAGTTAACTTCGTGGAAAGTCGATTCTGGACAGACTTCTCGACGATTCCGGGGCATATCGTGTGAAGGATGAATTTGACACAAAATGAGGTATTTGGATAATATCGTTTGTATCGAGATATCAGGTGGTATTGTGTTTATTAACATTACGGTATCCCATAGGAGTAATCCACCCTCTAGGAGGGACGAGAGAACACCAAATATCCAACAAGCGCTTCTGGACCACCACCACTCATATGATCGATCCCCTTTGCACTTATACTATGGATATCTCCATACTCATCAATCTCCATCCTATTCGCTCTACACATTTGCTTCGCAAGACGGTTTACCGCTGATCAGAAAAGGAGTGCAAGCAGGTTCTAAGTGCAGATAAAGCAAAATTTGGATCTCTTCGGGACTAGGTAGCTTAGTGGTCTACAACAGCCACTCTACCTACAATCTTTCATCTTCTGTCTTTTGAATAGTGATGGGTTATTATGAAGTTTGTGTTGGCCCCTATCGTCCTTCCTTTGACGACAACGTTACTACGAGTAAAACAAGACACTTTCTAGCAATCCAGTCCAAGATAACAAGGTAGAGAGAGGGTAAATCCTCATTCCCATTTCGTATCGTCCATGTTCACTTCCTTGTCCCTGGCTTAAATTTCTTCCCCCACCAATATCACATCACCCAACTCTTTGTCCCGTCACTAGAAGCTACGAGTCTCATTTTTTAACACTGGAATACTGATTTTCGAGTAGGTCTCTACGGGACAATCAAATTGACACATGCAACAGGTGAAACTATCAAACTTAAAAAATGGCATTATAAATTCATACATCATTACACTTTACTGAACGCTATCTTCAAAGCGCCGTCAAATCCGCAACCACAAGCCTATGGTCACTAATAAACACCCCATCCACAACATTGTTAACAACTTCCCAAGACTGGGCCGCGTAAAAATGCTGTTCCGTCGGACCAAACCAGACAAAGTCGATGCGCGAGAAACCCGCTTCAGATTCGAAGCCAGTGTACGTCAAATCGAGATTTCGAATTTTAACGGCCTCGGATTTCGAGACCTCGGTGAGAAAATCCATGTCCTCCAACGTTTGGTAGGCATCTTGATTGGGTTCGGAATTGAAATCGCCAGTGAGGGTCGCACCCAGAGGACCGAACTGTTCTCGGACGGCCTTGATTCGAGAGGCCACGACCTTGATGCCCTCGCTACGAGCCTCGGAACTGACATTGTCGAGGTGGGTGTTGGCATGTATGAAGCGTTTTCCAGTGGCCTTGTGCTCAAAAACACCAATGGTGACAACTCGTCGACTTCCCGCGCCCCATCCAAAGGAAACCTCATCGGGGGTGGGAGAGAGCCATTTCATTTCGCTGAATACCAAAGTGAGAGCGTCGGTGTTGTAAAGGATGGGGCTGTATTCTCCAGCCTTCTTCCCATCATCACGTCCGAAACCGATATGCTGCCACGTGCTCCCCAAGCCACCTTTGATATCCTCCAGTTGGTTGTCGAGCACTTCTTGGAGACCGATGATAGTAGGAGAGGCTGTATTGGCGGCTTCGTTTTTGAGTAACTCTATCACATGTGGTTTTCTGCAGCGTTCAGACCAAATACCACATAGGATGGTCGACCATGGTTTTTCTCCGTCCTGGCGCGTCGAAGCATCAGCATCAAAGCGAACATTCCAGGAAACAATGCGAATTGGTAGAGAGACAGCGAATGCATTGACAGCGAAAAGCAAAAGAGTGAGGAGATATGAGGACTGCATCTTGAAGCAAAAGAGTGTGGGTGCCGTCGGTATCGAGCACTTGTGGGAAGATCATCTTCTTTATACATGACTGCTCCAGATGTACTCCGTACTTTCTACATTTAGAACATCGAGATTAGGGACATTTGAGGATCTCAAAGTGTTACGCAGTTGTCAAGGGTACAATGAAGTCCTGTTTGCCGGCAGCGACTACCGAGGTATACGCGAACCCCCTTTTGAGGCTTGGATGAGGTTGATCGCCATTGGGTGAAACCACGTGGGGGAATGTCTTGGACGCAGTTCATTGCAATTCTGCAGAACGAAATGCGTTCCACCACTCCTCCAACCGAATATTTCCATACCACGAACTATTGTTAAACTCTCCTCTTATGTAAAAGTATTATTCCACGACTCGAATTCTTTCATGAGGCACGAGACGATCTCTGCTCTGTGTTTGGATGGTAGACACGGAAATTCCTTTTTAGGCAGGTCACTACTATGCAGGTTCAATAGATTTCCTTGTTGGCAATTGGTAGCCGATGCAACCTAGCCCGCACCTTATTTTGGATAAATCAATCTCCCCTGGTATGTAAACTCAGCAGCTGGAAAGGCCTACTTCAACGGCCATCAAGAATGTATCCAGAGGCGTTTGACCAACGCCACATTGACTGGATCACCCACAGCTGTATCTACCACTTCTTCCACCGCCCCAATGAAACTTAGTTTGGAAGTAAAGATAAGGAAGAAAGTAGAACCACATTCTATTGACAGCATCATACCACAATTCATTCTCATGAAATCCTAGTCGAGCAATACATCCATAGCCACTCCGCGCGAGGCATCAACATTTCTGCATGGATTTCATCTTGCAACCGTCCCAGTGACTCGGACTGTCATCTAACAGTCATACCGAAGTTCAAGTATACGTTCCTGGGCAGATTAAGATAAGATATCCTGCTGAAACCCATACATTAGAGCTCGATGCTATTTTCAGTTACAAGACTGCGGGTTTGAAGATCCACAAGGAGAGGTTTGGAAATCGTGGAGAACAGCCCGAGATCCGGATTCCGAACGCGATTTTCCAAGAAAATAGCGGGGGAAAAGGTGTATCAATCTCCATCGGAGAGTTTCAACCCCTCCAAGTCTCAAAATGGTCGGCGTAGAAGTTGTATCGCCGACTGCTACTTCGTAGATTTGACATACCCATCTCGAAATAGCGCTAGCGTAACTTCCTCCCATCCTTCCAAGCACGACAAGAACCGAACAAAGTCAACAAATGCCATCTTTGCCGCTTCAAATTTCCAATCCGCAGTCCTTAGCTGCATGAGTATCATTGGGTACAGCATCCCAAGGCAGTCCCAAGACATCGGAGACGCCTGCAAAGCACTTCCGTCCAGCTTCAAAACCTTTGCTCCTTTTTCTCGGATCCTTCATTTGACCGTTTTGATTTTCTCTGTACTGTAATATTACTAGACGGTAGCTTTATACAAGCCACTTCGTATTAAGAGGCATGATATTCATGAAGCGCGAGTCAAACCCATTTTCAGTCTCAGCATTGAAAAGCTTGACCAACTTCCACAGCGTTTGCTCACAGTCCTACGTATCATGGATTAGAGCGAGTTCATCCCATCCGCAATGCGTTTAATTCAGGAACTTTAACATAATCGCTTGGTCTCTCCATCTCTTAAGGGAAGCAGAAGATTTTTCCACGCCAAGGAACGCATTGCTAACAGCAACTGATGATGCCGTCGAGGATAGGGCTGTTAAATTAGATATAATTTAAATAAATTATCAATAATTATTAAATTAGGCGATTATCTGAAAATAAATTATTTATAAATTATCGGTATCACGTGATATATATAGGGCGGAAAATATCTCTTAAGTCCCTATGGAGAACCCCGTTAAGACTTAAAAGAGCGCTTATATAAATGAAAGAAGAAGATATAGTAATAACGAGGTAAAACACAAAGATTAGCTACGTAGCTAATTCTTAGAATCAAGTAACTTTTAACATACAATTTTAGTAGCCTTTTTAGTAAGTTTAGCTTACTTCTATACCCTTTATTTACCCCTTATTTACCCCTTATTCACTTCCTAAAATACTCTATATTCATTGCTAAAACCTAATATTAGACCTGAAATCTTTAATTATTATAAATTAGACAAAAATAAATTATAATTAGATTATCTAAAATTAGATCTCACAACCCTAGTCGAGGAAAGCGTCTGGGGCAGTGACCTGACTGGAAAGTAAATCTCAGAATATGTTCTCTGTATTCAGACCTGGACCGAGTAACCAGTCATCGGCATGGGCATATATATAACTACCCTGATTCCCCGTAGCTAGCTCTCCAGCTTTGAAGGGTCTCCTCGCAGATCTGCATATTCGCTCTACTTGGTAAGTATACTTCGGTATCGAGTTACCTAAGTAACACCATCAGTAACTTACTAAGAACACCTCCTCCAAGCATCGCATCCCTTGCGCAACGTTCATCCGGATCTCACGACTACTTCCACGTGATATGCGCATATCGCCTCCACCTTCCGACTGCCACACGGAATGTACAGTATAAGGACGGCCATAATTCCTACTAGTGGATTGAAGGCTATTACGACTATGGCGTAGTTGATGTACTTAATCGATTCGTATAGGAGCGTGTATGATCTAGAGATCCAGTCTTAGACGAGCTTGAAAGCATCACACCAAGCTTAAGTGGTTCAACAGAATCTGTGCTCCGTTCGAAATGTTATCGTCCCATCATTCTAATACATATTTAGTCTCCGGTACCACCACAAAAAACATGGCAACAGGAGGTGCGAGCCTAGATGTATTCCAATATCAATTTTCCGTCGTCGTTCAACTCTCAAACAACTCCGTCCTCCTCTCCCAAAACCCACACTCCTCTCTCACCCACACATCCTCCACAATCTTCACCGCAACCCCTCTCTCCCCACCCCCAGCGATCTCATCATTCCCCTCCCCAAAGACAGCAATCTTCCCCCACTTCCCCTCCGCAACATCACCAACCCCAAACTTCGGCCACGTAGCCCTCTCCTTCACAACCCCTCTTCAGCATTAGGATCCCCAGTGGTAATAAACGACGTCCAATAACTATGCATCTTCGCACTAATGTCCCTTATCGACGGCGAGAACTCCCGAATTTCTCGGTTGTAGGTAACGAAGTTGTTATGATCACAATGGTCTGCCCCTCCTTCCCTCCGACTCGTTGCGGCAAATTGATATAGCCAGACGGGAGATCCTGATGATGCGGCGAAATGTGCGGGTTGACGGACGGGCGAGATGTATGCGAAATGGCCATATGCCTGTTCCATACAGAAGAATTGTTTACCTAATTCTTTTCTAGCTTCCACGTATGGGGATGACGGATCCGTAGTGGGATCTGGATATGTCTCGTTTAGAATGCGTAGATCCTCCATGGAAAGATTGGGAAGGAGGACGCGGAAGAACTTGGTAAATTGATCAGAGGTTGAGATTCCAGGATCGATGAAGATGGCTCCTTCGTTGGTGTTGAAGCCCGTCATGATGGGGACTTGATGCCATTTTCCTGATTTGCAGGCTTGGATGGGTGCTTGGGTGATGATTCCCCCTTCGCCCTCAATTACTGGCTGCCATGGCCAGCGAAGACTAGATTCGTATTTGGCGTAGATTTATTCGGAAGCACTTTTGATAAGTGAGAATGGGAGAGTACGAAGACTGCTTAGTATTTCTTCAGTTGGTAGATTTTGGAGACCGAGATGTGAGAGGAAATCGTGGAATTGTTGCTCTAATAGAGAGTTCTCATATGGTAGTACAGTTTTTGCGGTTGCAGCGCCGGATTCTATGATGGCCTTGTGGAATAGAGGTGGCTCGTCCGGATTATGGAGAAGGTGATGCCCGACCTGTGATCTGATAAGCTCGTGTTACAGTGTATCGAGTATATGAAGATATCTAAAAAAGATAACAAATTTATAGTTCACAATAAAAGAGGAAGCGAGCAGAGGAAAAAAGGGGGAGAATCTCACAGAATGCGCCCCAGCACTACTCCCATAATCGTAACATCCCCCTCATCCCCTCCAAACGCATGCACATTCTCCCTAACCCACCTCAACAACAAATCCTGATCCTTCAACCCCAATTCAGCACACCCTACGCAGCCGCAACCTTCGAAGACAAGAACCCAAACGCCCCAAGATGATAATTAAAACTAATCCCAATCATCGGCCTCGTCGACCAAGCCACCATACTAGAAATCTGTCTCGCATTCCCCGCCCCAAAATTAAAACTCCCACCATGTATATAAACCAATACCGGTAATTTCCTATCCTTAGGTCGTATAGCCGGACGGAAAAGATTAAGATCAAACAATCCTCGCCCATGGGTGTAGAATCTTTCTCTCCCGCCGGACAACGCTGCCCATATTTACTGGCATCGAATTCCAGCTCACTATCCGGGACCGGAACCGCGGGTTTGAATCTCCTCTCCCCGTCGGTACTCAAAGCATAGGCGATCCCGAGGAATTGATCCAAAGTATGTGATAACCCGCCATGGCTTTCAACGAGCTTGCTCCCGATGATTTTGCCCTGGCGCAGCACCACCTGCGGCCGGGAAGTGGCCGTCATGACAGGACGAATATCTACCTGGTGTGGTCCGTTGTCTAGGACCCAGAAGGTGACGAGACAGACAGCGACAAGAAGGATGATGTGTATTAGTCGTCGTTGTGACTTTGGCGGCATGTTGTCTCAAGGTGTGGTGGGGTACTGTAAATCAAGGTGGGGGTGGGGTGAGCCAGACTGGGCTTGAGCGTGGGAGAGGATGGGAAAGTGAAAACGCACTCCATGAAAGTCCTACATAGATAGATATGTAGAGAGTCATACTGTCGGAAATTTGTTATTTCCTTCAACTCTTTTCAAGTCGTACTCGATGTATGGAAAGTGAGACGTTGTTTGTGTAGTACGAGTACACATGTTTCATCTCGTTACACTTGAGTTGACAATTACACCATAGGTAGGCCCTCAGATCCCAAAACCTTCGAACAAGATGTGACCTTGGACCACCAGCCAAAGGATTCTTTGGGATAATATGGAGTACATATAAATTTCATTCAAAAGACTACAAGAAGACTACACAAAGACCATTCCATATCCATGCCGTGCTGCCGAGGGGGTATGAAGCATATAACACCCAACGCATTCGCTGTAACCATCCATACAAAAAAGCAATAACTGTTTCCCATCCCAGACACCCTTTCTCCCTTTATTACTCATGAATAATCATAATTGCGCTCATAAGCACTCAGCCTCTCAATCCCAATTGTCCGCCAGGGCCATAGCCAGTACTCATACCTTTATCACCTTCGGCCATCTTTCGCGCGCGCTGCTTCTCGGCCCATTCTCTACTTGCTTGACGGCCCCGCTCTGCAGCTTCTTCACGCGCACGCTTAGCTGCCGCTTCACGCTCCTGCTTCTCTTTCTCCTGTTCCTCAATTAACTTGGCATCTCGATTGTAGATCTCTCGAGCCCGCTGGCGCTGGACCTGCACGTCTTTATCCGAAAAGTTACGCTCTATGTAAAGACCACTCATCGAGGGGCCGCTGGTCGTAGACGACTTTCGAACGATCGGTTGTGGGTTGGATCCTGGGGCACGAGGGGCAGAGGTATTTGCGATGCTGACTTGGTGCAATGAGGGACGGTGTGCACCAACAGAATCTCTCTTCAAAACCGAAAGCTCATCATCCATATTCTCAAGTCCCACTTTGCTTTGGCGAGCACGGCTGGCAATCGTCTCGCGAGGAACAAAATCTGGCACGATGCTCTTTCTAACTGGTCTGGCCTTGAATTCGCGGCGTTTTCGCTGCTCTTCCTCTTCAGCTCTCAAACGCGCCTCTTGAGCTTCTTTCTTCCGTCTGGATAGAGCCTCCCCAGGGAGTTCAAATGTCGGCCTAGTTGGTGGTTTGGTGGACTTGGTAGTTTTGAGGCCAGATACAGGTTTGGAGCGGTGTAAGACTTCTTCACTAGACTCACGCTGTGAAAGACGAGCTTCCCGTTGTTCCTTCAACTTACGAGCTACAGCTTCTCCAGGGAGCTCAAAATTAGAGCGAGTGAGTGGTTTAGTGGATTTGACGGTTTCAAAAACACTCAATGGCCGTCTTCCAGCTGTTTTCACCGATGATTGAGCCTTCTGCTCGTCGACAGGTTTCTTGAAAACCATGGAGGATGTTTTCTTGACACTCGGGGATGGCTTAACTGTTGTGGGCTTGACTCGCATGGAGCCATATTTGGAAGGGGTTTGTTTTGGTGGATTTGACTGTCGGTTGCTTGTTGGTGGGCCTTCTTGCGGTCCCATGCTTTCCCCCGTCTTTGATGGTGTGCGTTTGGCTTTCTCTACCGACATGCCTTCTGCCAAAGCTGCCTGAGAAATGGCGTCCATTTGCTCCTCGAATTGATCAAGAGCCTCGAGAGAGTCTTCGATTCGAGATGTTGGTTTCGCTGGGGTTCGGCTGGTGATTTGTCTTACAAACGAGTCTTCCTCATCAGAGTTATCCCGAGTTTGGACTTGCTCCTTTTCACATGTTCGCTCGACCTCCTCAAGTGTTCTGCGTACCGAATTTACTGGGGTCTGAAGTATTTCCTTTTTTGGAGTCTCAAAATCTTGAATGTCTTGCTCGTCGACCACTGGCTCTGGAATCTGGCCATATGAAATCTCCGTGGTTGTCTCAGACATGGACTTTGCCAACTCTTCCTTGGCTAGTAGTAAATGATAATTAGTCATACTGTGGTTGAAACCATCGTCTGAATTTGGCAAATGAAGTTTGCTGTTTCGAAAAGTATCCGTCGGAAAACCACCGACGTCATTGATAAAAGGAGTATCCTTGTATAAGTGGTGATCCGTGAAGTACTGATCAGAAGTAACGAAATGTGTTGAGATATACTGACCTGCTTGTTGTAATGCCAATTGATGACGAGTCATTCGGACGGCTCTAGTTTGGAGCTCTGGAACCAGATTTGAGGTCGCATTGGGAGTGGTTGGTGTGTACGATTGGGCTAGATCCTCATGGGCGAGAGTATCCAACTGATGGACAGCTTCGAATTCCGCATTCTCGTCATTCATAGCAGCGTGTCCGTCGCCAATGTTTTCCTGTTGCTCGACATCTACCTGATCCTTCTTCTTGTTCTTACTCTTCTTGCCTTTCTTGCCTGCGCCAATGGCATTGCGATAAGCTGCCTTCAATTGCCGGAGCTGAGAAGGAACCGAAGTATCCTCTGTGGGCATATTATTCTCACCAATGTCGCTGCTGATGTCGTTCAGAGGCAACTGTCCGGCTGGAGTGTTTGGCAGAGGTGTTTCGAGTGCGATGGAGATGGGATCTTCCGCGATTTCGATTTTTCGAGAACGCGTAACCCGAGCCATGGTGTTGTAGACACGGGGAAGAAGAATGCAGTACTGGCGTCCACGGACAGATTGAAGGGTGCGTTGGTAGGCTCGTTTGGATGAAGTTCTCGGAGATTTGATAAGGCACAAGAAATAAACAACCAGGGGACAGCTGCGATCAAGCCAAAACACAAAAGACGAACCAGAGAGGTTTCAAAATGGGGTACGCGTAGACGAGTATTGATGTTGGCGATGCAAAATGCGATGCGATGCGATGCGATGGTGCGACTTTTGTCGGTGCACTTATCAATTGTAGAGGGGTTGAGGAGGGGTGAAGATGGAAGGGATGGAATGGACGCCCATGCGAAACGGATTTCATATGGGCCATCATATGGTTCGTGCCGACGCTTCCTGTTTGAGAATGCAGCATAAAATTAACTTTCAAGTCCCTATGACAACGAGGCTAAATTCTCCCCGAAATCGTCTTCTTAACAAGCTAAAAGTAGGAAACTAAGAGACGAACTTCAAGCCGCGGTCACTATTAATTAAATAAACTACTAATAAGAAATTGAGAGGTCACATAGGTACTGTTTTGCCGTATTCAGGGATACCTACGTATGAAGTACGCGATGGACCTCGGGAACTTTGGTCGCGTCGCGTTGAAACGCTACCGATTCCGCTGCCGTTGCCGATTCCGCTGCCGACATGATCGCGCTGCCGATATGATTCCGAGCCCTCACCTAATGCTGTTTCTTTTTGGGGGGATGAGTACTCGAGTACCACCTCAGTAACTAGGTGCTAGACTGGTATATATACTGCTGATACCACACAAATTAGATGGAGAGCTTGGCCTGGTCTTTGATTATCAGAACCTAGATAACTACTCGTGTCAATCTCTTGACCTAGGTAGGTATCATCTCTCCTCTATCAATACTTTATACTATCTTCACAGATTGCTGTTGTGCCATGGTAGATCCAACAAATTCCATAAACTCACAGGAGTCTAGTATGTGCTCCTGCAACGAAAGTCCCCAGACACTTTCTGCTATGGATCTTCCCACAATCAATCTCACCTCCAACGCCTTTCAAATGCCCGTACATCGTAATTCGTTATATTTTCTTCGTCCGCCGAGGATCTTGACCAACAACACCTCACTCTTCCGTCCCCTCAGTCGCTTGTTGTAACATGGGCGCATGCTCAGTCGGTATTCTGACAAGAGTTTGAGGCAACTCCAACTCTGGCTGCTTCTTCTGCGCATCACTGCCTTCGGGCTGGTCGGGTTCTTTCGGCTTGGGGATTTTCGCTATGGCAGTCAGCAGCGGTTTCTAACAGGACGCATCAAGACTTACCAGAAGCCATACTAATGGCACGGAGGACATTGTGCCAGTTCCCCAGGACTAATGCAACAGCTAAGATCCTCGTATTAGACAATTCTGCGATGCTTCATACTTCTATTCTCTCCGGCGCATACCTTCTGTGCCATCTGAAAGTGTAGCAAGTTTCTCCTCCAGCATCTGCATCTGCCCCGCCAATCCTGCACTGAGATCTCGCAGCTCCTTGAGACTTTCTAATTCGGCCTTCTTTTCGTTGATGCGAGCTAGCAGTATTGGCGATTGGCCTGTGGACGCAGCGTTCCCCATAGAGCCTTGTCGCAAGTGCGAGGGGAGGGGTCGCGACGGGTACGACATCGTGATAGTTGCGTTTGCGGACAGAACTCTCGAGTACGAATGTAAAGTGCGGTACTTAGGTATCTTGTAGATACTCCTGGGTCTTAGCTGTAATACGCCGGTGGTCTGAATTGCGATGTTCTGTTCTCCACTCGAGGAACTATACTTGGACTACAGCTGTGGTCTTGGTCTTGGTCGATCGGCAATCCCACCAAAACGATGCACAGGGGTCAGGGCAATGGAGCTAAACCTATTTGGATGTCAAAGTAAACAAACAACTCCTTTCCCTGGCCAAAAAACTTGTCATTCTTTCTGCTTGTCCAAGCTTCATCATCCACCCAACCCACGCGCGTCTCAAGCTTACTTTTTGGTCTGCACTATTGCTTCCGCTTCCTTTTGGATTTCCAATAGAGACTGAGAAAACAATTCAATTGCCAAATCGCCGGACCCCACCCTCGAGCATTGCCAACACATCTGCTCTCCACAATTGTTGACCTGCCGCATGTTTAGTTGAAATGGCTCGTCTGAACGAGGTTCCGGCTTCGACGGAGAATGTAGAATCATGTCAGTTCTAACTTCTCCTACATCTTGCTACCTTACTCATTGTTGGCTAGTGAAGCGTAAGTTCATGCGACAGAACCGCGACATCGCTCGAGCAAACTCTGCCCAGTCTCTGCGAATTCGAAGCCTCGAAAACGAAGTATCCAAACTTCTTGCCGACAATCTTGGACTAAGGGGACATATCATCAATCTTCAGAACGAGATAGAAAATGGACAGGCGCAACGGATTGCGGAGCATACTGGCCATATCAAGGCTGAACTCGAGGCAAAACTCGCCGAGATAAGTGCAATGCTCAATGGGCTTGGGCAGGTACAGCCAAACAAGAAATCTCCCAGGGCAGGAAGAATCACAAGAAAGAGTTTGAACGGCAGCCCGGACCAGAAGAATTGGAAGAACATGTGCAACTTGAGCGAGGCTGTTGCAAGCCAAGAGGGTAGATTACCGCCCATTTTGGAAAACAAACAATACCCAAGAAAAACCTTAGAGTATGTTCAAAATTTCCTTTCCCCAACCTCTCAAACAAAACTTCTTCATGATGAGCAACATTGGTCCGTGTTACCGAGTGGCCTCAAGAACCGTCATATGACGATCACCATTGCATTCAAGTGCACCTCTGATTACTATGTTTCCTGTTATGGCATTTATCTGTATGATTTTATCGCTTGGCAGTTTATGCTGACGTCCATAGGCACCAAGAGCTGCTACAGCTTGTTGCAGATGCAGACGACACCACCGAATCGCCTGACATCGGGCCTCCTCCAGTATCAAAATTCGTAGATGAAGATCCTGTGAAGATTGACCTTCCCTCACGAAGACCAAGCGATGATACCGAGGAGCCATCGGATATCGATCCAGTTATGTCAAAAAATCTAGAGCAAAGACGAAAGCGGAGGAGTAGTGGAACCCCAAACGACACCAACGCTATCACTGTTGCTATGCCACCACAAGATGACCAGGAGAGGAAAGAGAGCGTGAAAACAGGCGCCAAAAGGAAGCTCAACGTTAGAGAGGACGAAGAAAAGAATGATGCTTCCCGAAACCGACCAATCTCAGCAGATGACTTCAAGTTCTCCCGTGTCAGCGAGGAAAAGAGTAGAAGTAGAGTGGTTGTCCTGCCTGAGAGGTCGACAGGGAAATCAGCTAGAGAAATTGCCGTCGCTAGAGGAGCTCGGGACAAACGATCCTCGACCGCAAGCTCAACAGGAAGAAGGGCATTGGCAGCAAAGAACATCAATACTTCACCAAAGAAATCTTCGAGGGCAACAAACCAGGATGATATCAAGGTCGCAAAAGCAGAGATTCCAAAGCTCAATCTACCAATCGAGAATCTCAAGGATAGCAAACGAGCGACGGTCACAATTCAACCTGTGGAAGAACCGCAAATCGTCAACATAGTCGAAGTCCTACTGGAGCCTGAAACGCCAGCAGCACTTGACACTTTCTCTCCATTTTCGGCAGGGCCTTCAACGGTGCGGTTAGCAGACAGTCGGGATACCCCACCACCACCAGATTTAGGACGAGGCGTAGAAGGTTCACGGCCCAGTCGAAGAGCACGTGGTGCTGTGAGTTATGCGGAGCCGAACCTGAGGGATAAGATGCGAAGACCTACGAAGGAGATGATCGATGCAGTAGCAAGGGATGGCAACTCAGCCCGAGGATCTGCTGTGAAGTTAGAGAATAATCCATCTCTGTCCGACAACATTAAATCGGAGCCGGAAGAGGATTGTTGGAAAAACATGCCTCTAGCCTCAGCAGCCACGGTTGCAAATAGTCCTCTCCGAAGCAAAGCCACGGAGCAAGACCTCTTGCCGAGCAGCATCACCACCCATCGAAAGAGACGCGAATCCCTGCTTCAGCAAGCACCCCTTGAAAAGACTGGGTCAGAAACAGCTATGACATCGCTCCTGGCAGAGCACAGGAAAGCAAAGGCTGCCAGAGAGAAGGCTCTAGAGAATGAAGGTGCTGGCTTGGCCAACGCCGTTGAAAAGCTTGAAATTTACGAATTCTGTGGATCAGCGTCTCCAGATATCCTGCCACTCAAGCCTGCCGCTGAGGAGAAATCGGTATTCTCAAGATCAACACGAAGGCAATCATCTGCTACCCGAGAAAATACGAATGTCGATGACGGTGAAGCTTCTGATATGGAGGTTAAAAAACGCCCTCTAGTCAGTCGTCGAAGGCAATCTACCCTGGGTGTGCGCGCCGAACCCTCAAATGACAAAAATAGTGCTCTGAGAAAGGCTCTCAACGCACAAAATGCTGCCGATACTTCAGTTGCCGATTCCAGGGGTGACCGTATCTCTGCGCGGAGACGAAGCATGATGTTATGAGTAATGTAGTAAATTGTATGGAGGGCCTCTTTTTTTTCTGGCGTGTTACTACGGGTTGGATACCCTCGTTCTCCTTTTGTATTCATTGAAGCGATTTGGTTGGAATGAGCTGGTGGGCTTTTTCGTGGCTTGCGTGTTTTTGGTAGGGCTCATAGGTTGACGATTGATCGCGCTTTTTTTATGATACCAATAAAGTTTGTTTTATCTCATAAATGTTTGTGTTTGTGGTGAGCCTTTTGAAGTGTTGCTGTCCTGTATATCTTACTTGTTTTTGTTTTGACTTGACTTCTCTGTGATGAGATTCGTTTTCTGGGTCTTGATTTGGGGTAAATACTGTAGAAGTAAGGTTACAGTACCGAGAACCTGGTAGAAATGATATTAAGTGGGCTTTTTAAGCGTCATGAGGGAGTAATTGGGTGCTTCTTATTTTGCTACTCGTATTCATTGTATGGATTGTTTGTAGGGGATGAGAAAAAGTAGATAAATGTTGTATATTTAAGGATGATTAGTGATTACTTTGTAGTTTAGTTATTACTCATATTTAACTACTTAAGCAGTCAAGTAGTTTGTTCGACTGGTATTAACTTCCTATACCCTTTTTCATCTAACGACTTCCATAGACAGTAACAGTATGAACATACTTCACTTTCCCATCCTCAACCCTAATCTCATGACTATCAGGCATATCCAGATCCAAACTATCAAAAGAACACAGCACCTCCACCGACCTAACCGTCTCATCAATCACATACCTCCTATTCCCATTCACCTTCGCACTCCCCCCATGCGTCAACGCCCCCCCACACGGCCTCGTCAACCGCGATCCTTCAATCTGTTCACAATTCGTGCCCCAAGGTATCAAATCCGCGGCCTTCCCATCCGTCCACATATCTAAATACGCATCCCCGACTCTCCTTAGCATCTCCCTGCTCGGTCTCTTCCCTATCTCAAGCGCCGTCCAGTTCTCGGCTGGGAGATACATCAATTTCTGTGCGGCGTCGAAGAATAACGCGCCTGTCGTCGCGGCTACGGTATCGATCATGGAAATCACACTGGTGTCGTTCACGGGGTGGCGGATCTGGGTTGCTAGGACGTAGGGCTTTGAGCCGTTTTTGGAGGGATAGATGGAGAGGGTGTAGCTGGCGCAAGTCACTGTATCTGCTGTGGTGCGGTTGAGCTCGAGGTTGAGGTGCTGAGAGAGAACACCCTTGTTTATGTCGGTGATTTTGTTGTTCTCTTTGTAGGCGAAGTTTAGGGTGTTGAGGGCGAGGGTGGAGGGTTGGCCGTTGGTTTGTGCGGTGAAGTAGGTGGTTGCGGTGGTGGGGAGGCCGGCTCGTGTGCAGTCTGCTATGGCGATAGGGGTTAGAAGGGCGGTGATGGCGAGGAGGTTTGGGATTGATGGGAGCATGGTCTCTAGGCTTGGGAGGGGACGGAAAAGGGGGGCAGGCGAGGCGAGGTGATTAAGCGAGTACGGTTGTTTTGGGCGCCTTGAACGAGTAAAAACAGGTTGGGAAAAGTCTTACACTTCCGCAGCTGAAGATGCGATCTCGATTTGAACTACTTCTATATCTTTCCAGTGATAAGCCCCGTGTGTCTTGTTTTCTAATCTTTTCGTTACTTTAGGCGAGAGGTAAAATGAACTTTCCCGCCATACACTTTATATAAATTGATTTGACTGCGCGTTTACGACTTTTTACCCCAACCTTGATTCAACCACGAAACTGAGTCTCGGCAGATGCAGCTATATCTTTACGACCTCAAGAGGTTTCAGAGTGATAATTTGAGATCGCCATGTTTGGTAAACTTGTCCTACACATACTTTGCTTGTGAGGGGCAAAACTCATACATGTATCTGATTTACATTAAATGGCCCTAGACCTATAGTCCTCTCGAGGAGCTCTCTAGGTGGAGGGTATATGCGTCGATGATAAGTTAAAAGTTGGGTTCTTCTTGCTGGTGTGGAGGTATACAGATATCAAGTACCCTCATGACGTCAACAGGCAGCGTATTTTAGGTGTATTTGATGTATGTGGTATGCAGCAATTCAACGCTTGTAATTAACATCACAGCACCTTTAGCACCAGAATATCAAAAACAGAGGTGTTTATGTCCTATTGGGTGGATGAACACAATTACGCTCGCTCCTCCCATGTAGCCATAGCCAATTAATTATAAATAAATTCTAGGAGACGATGATGTTCTAGTGCTTGGTCTTTTGTTTGCACGTCTGTATCAATTCTACGTAAATTAGCCATCGTGCCTTTTCCATCCTACAGCACACTTGACCTTTAACGTTGGCAATTACTTAAAATTCCTGGCTACGTGAAGTCCTTCATGGCCGCAAAGGTATCACCTCAAATCATTGAAATTAATTGTATCTAGTTATTACTTCGTGATAATGCGTGGAGCCAAGCTATACGGAACATCAGAGCTTCTCAGCTACTCATCTCGCTAGACATCTCGCCAAAGGAAAGGGGCCTTGCCACCGTATCGTCTGTGATTTTTTCAATATGGTAATCTTACAAACTACTGCATGAGAAACACAGTTACATTCAAAATATATATGACTAGTCCGAAAACATTTATGAAATACCTCAGTCACAACCTATGGTTCTTTGCTTTCAAGATCCAAATAATGGTATGGATTTTATTGAACAATGCCAAAGGCGAGACTTCCACTTGCTACCACTTTCTCAATCATACCCTATAAGGAGACTCATCCACACTGAAATAATAGTAGAGAAGCGAGTGAGATGGTGTGTCATTCCGATATTTACCCTTCGGGCGAAAAGTGTGCCCTGAGAAAGTAGCTGTAGCCATGAACCCACTCTAAATGGAGGGCATGCCTAGGAATTTCAACATAAAGAACCTAATGTAGCACCATTTAATGACTAGCTAATAAGCTAGGTTCTACCTTTAGTGCGAAAGTGAAAAATTTACCATGGTGTTCTCGGATATAGATTAGCTTTTAGCAACCAAAAAAGCCTCGTGACACCGATCGAGGAAAGCAAGGAATATGCATGGCGAAGCTCGCCGTAGCGATAAACCTCCGCTAAAAAAAGTCTAAAGGAAGGTATATCTACGAGCTTTGATAAGAAGATACGAAGTTTGTACTGTTTGATTAACATACGACTTTAATAGCCTCCGGTCGATCCCGTTACGACTTCAACAGCCTTTTGCCCTGTAAACTCACTCTTATACCCTGTTTTGTCCCTGCCCGTGGGCGTAGTCCCGAAAAGGTAAGTCTCGCAGGCCTACATTCTACTACTAGTTTTATCTAAGGACCTGCGACTACCGTGGTAAATCGACTCTATAGAGGAGACCAGGGTTACGAGTGGAGTAAAAAAACCACTTTTCCTAGCCACTTAGGGACTTAGCTGTCTATAGAAAAGAGGAGCTGCTACTTGTCGCAATCTAGTCCTCATAAGAATCAAGTACATATAAGCGTAGGAAAGGCTATAAAGCGCTTAGTTACGTACTCTATCTATAAACCCTTGTCTCCTCCTTAGAGTCGATTTACCACGGTACAGAGAACTTACAGCTATTTAGAACTCTAGAAGTAAATTATATACCTTGGAAAATAAGCTAACTAGCTACCTTCTGTATTCCTAGGCCCTAGGGACGAAGAGCTATACCTATAAACATAATATAGGGCCCCTGATTTAGGCGCTATAGGTGATTTCTCGCTTAGTTAATAATACGTAGACTATCTATTAGTTATACCCTCTAATCCGTGTTTCCTAAGTTCTATTATCTTTAAGGTTATTCGCACTTTAGTACTTTAGTACCGTGGTAAATCGATGTTAAAAGAAATGGGTGGAGACATAGGTGGAGTACAGAGAAGCTAGCAAGACTACTTTCGGGCCATTCAGAGAACAGCTTTCTACGGGCCCTCTCTAGGTAGAAAAGTCCGACAACGAGAAGCTCCCGTTAATCGCAATCTTCTACGTATAAGAAGACGGATTCTAGCCAGTAGGAGCCTCTAATTCACACTGTTCCGCACTACTCCGTACTCCACTTGCCCACCCCAGCATTTCTTTTAACATCGATTTACCACGGTAGGATAAAAACTTATAATTTACCCATGTTATACCTGCTCTCTTCTAAAAAGCGGCGATTTATCTCTAAGAGGCTATTGAAGTCGCGGAGTGATCGACCGGGGCTATTAAAGTCGTATAATCATGTTTAATGGCCACGGCTATAACCTAAGTTCTAGCTTTAGTGCGAGTGAGAAAGATATCCCATGACGTTCTTTGCATAAGCTTTTACCCACGAAAAGAACCTTACAACACTGATCAAGGAACCACAGAAAATGAATGTAAAGTAGCCGAAAACATCCGAGTACTGCTCTACGTACTATGGTAAATTCATCATGTGAGAAGAGTAAGAAAGGCAATGCAGACAATAAAGTGAAAGTGGGTTAATTTACACTTCGACTGCTCCACAGAAACACCAGGGACTGAAAATAAAGGTCTATACAAGAAGGGTAATAGCTAATTGAGGTAGTTATTTTACCTTTGAAGCGTGATCTAAGTATTCGATGACACTCCACTCATATGTTTCAAACAAAAAAAATGGAGAAATAGTATAACATGTTTTGAATTTCGGAAAGACTCGTAATCGACGACCGCCACTTTTGCAGTCAGTCCCCTCTGAACCCCCCATGGGCAACAACCTCCATTCTCTATCAGATCAGCATCCTCTCCATGATACCACATGTCCATCTCACGCCACAGCTCCTCCCGCTTCCCCACACCCCATTGTCCTGCTGTACTTGTACCCTCTTCCGAGACACACTACTGTACCTCCATACCAGCCATCTCTCCACCCCAAAAATCAGAACATATCGATCAACGAAATCTTATAGCAGCAGCATCATCATCAAATGGATAACGATATCCATCCCATCACAGCCCCGTATCGCATCAGCCAATGGAAAGAAACGGGAAGCTCCTCACTGCTCTGCACCCGACCTTGGATCATCCACTCACTGGTCCCCTCTTGCACGGTGCGTGCAGTGGGGATATATGTATCTACCCGTGACGCAGACGCTCAACAGGGAAACCCGCGCACGCTCGGTACTTATCTACAAAGCGGTCCCTCGAACATGGTCAGGAGATCGGATTTCGATGCCGTGAGACGGGACTGGGAGGACACGGTACGGTGCTAACTATAACCAGAAGACTTGGGTGGGGTGGGGTTGGAGACTTTCAGCAACGGTTAACATCGGATCTAAACTGTCCCCCCACACAAGACAAGGCTCCCGAAGGAAATGTACGACACGAAAATCGCAATGTCTTGTATACATATGCGGCTCCCCGTCCGAGACTCCCCCACAAAAAGCAAAGCGAAGAAAGAAAGGTAACCAACCACCCTCTGTCCAACATCAGGAATTTCCAGTGGTAGTACTCGCAGAAACCCCAGATTCCGGCCCCGTGATGCGAGATTGACTTCACGTGAAGGAAAGGGGGGGAGACAATCTAGTTGACTTACATGCAGCCGCCATTCCTTGTACGGTGTTACAATCGTACGAGAGTGTATCTCTACAAGAACATCGTGCGTTTTCCTCACCTGCCTCACACTCACGTGGAGGAACGCCTCCTGAGCCCTGCAGGAATGCGGTGTTCCTTTTTCTTTTCCTGGTGTAATCTTGGTCTTTGGGGGAGGAAGAACAAGCGAGGGCTGAGACTTCCTCAACGCTTCTCACGTGGTCGGGTAAAGATGTGAGTAAACACGGCATATATGCAGGAAACTGGACTTGTTGTTTCAGATCGGATTGTTATGGCTGGACTTTCCTTTCTTGGGGGTATGTGGTAGTGGTACGACGTTTTTTCATGGAAGGTAATAGACGGTGGCCACGTTGGAGATGTGAAATTATTTAAAGCTACCAGTAAAAACTCCTCCTTAGTCAGTGAATGGGAGGTGGTCTGAGGACTGATGTGTATAGAACGGCAAGCTCCGACTGTTTAACCACTGACCGAGAAATGTGGAGGCTAGAAAAGGAATATATTCCTCAGTAGTGACCACGTTGCGTAGAGCGGATCACTCCACGTGAGGGCGTAGCTGAAGATGATAAAAAAGCAAGGGAGCAAGAGAGGTTGAGTTTAATCTTGGAAAACGAAATACCAATTGAGACAACCACGTTGTTACCATCCCTTAGCTTCACAAGAAAAGCCATTCTCCGAACGGATAGCATTGTGGATCATTGTCCACTAGTCACTTACTTCGTAACCCAATTGGACCCATCACATCGCACGGTATTTCTAATCCCAAAGAGAGAAAAAAATCTCTTCAACCTCGCCTCTCTGGGCTTATTTCCAAGACTACAGTAAGATACAGTCATACACGCTGTCAAAGCCTTCGATGAAGAAGTAAAGCCAAGATCCAACCGCCTCCGCAATCGCAACG